GGTCCAGAGTTTGTTACTGCCGGGAGCCTGTGGGAGAACCTCAGAGCCTCGCCTGGGGAGAGCGGGGACCCGGGACCCTCAGCAGCCAGCAGCCACCACATGGGGCCCCCAACAGGAGGAGCCTTTTCTGGGACTTAAGCTCTCCAAGGCTTGGGCTTAGCCGAGACCCAGCAAGGCCCTGGCTGAAGCTGCAGATCCCAAAGAAGGAGCACAGGCGGAGCCGGAGAGGGCGCAAGGGGGAAGTGAGGGCGCAGCGGCCTGCAGGGCGTGGGAGAAGATTCCAGGAAAATGCTCCATACTTGGCTGTAAAAGGGAACTGATCATGCCAGCGCCCCCACTGCCGGCCTGGGAGAGGGTCAAGTGGGGTGACGCCCAGAGGAGTGTGCTTGCCTGGCTGCTGTCAGTGCTGGGACTGGCTGGGCCTCCTGTGGAGCCACGGGGCCCTGAGGCTTGCCCATGACCACAGACATTTTCACAAGGTTCCCAGTGACCCTGAGGCCAAATGGCCTAGTTTAGATTCCCCCAAGTCAGCAGCCTGCACTTGGGGGGAGGGGAGCACAGTAGGTCCGGAGTGAGCCCTGCTGCTTCCAAGCTGGGAGGAAGGGCATGACCAGAGGGCCTGCAGAGCCACACTGCCCTGGGCCAAGCAGAGGCCAGTGCAGGCCCCGGGGCCCCTGAGGGAAAGCACTGGAGCTTCCTTAACAAAAGGGGCTGTGTCTCCACGGTGCCCCTCCCAACCCTGGGACATCTGGAGCCTCATGGTGGGGTGGGGGGTGAGCAAGGGGACCTCGCCAAGTAAGGATGATGGAGAAGTCTTTGCCAAGTGCCTTTGGGGACCTGGAACTGGCACCCCTGGGTGCACCGGTGTAGGGTAAATGGATGTGATCAGGATGTTTCTGCCATCCCGCCATTAGGATCAATGCTCGACACCTGAGGGCTTACACGCGTGCCTGATGGCGGCACCTGGAGTGTGGTGTGGGCGTGCGCAGGCGGGCACACCTGGGCCGAGAGACAGCATCTAAGTGTGGCAGCAGAGGACTGATGGCAGAGGGCTGCGCGGCGGCGTGCAGCGGAGACCAGCGAGGAGACCCCGAGAGAACGCCAGAGAGTGAAGATTCACTGGGAGCTGGGAGGCCCCCCTGCCTGCGCTGGCCCTGCCCGCCTTGCTACAAATGGTGTAGGAGGGTCATTAAAAGCCTGAAAAAGCCACTGAGGGCTCCGGGATGCTCCTTCACCCATCTGCCTGGGCCCATGGAAAACCTGCTCTGTGCCTTGCTGGCGCTACAACCCCCGCCACAGTGCCGGGGCAGGAAGTGCCTGGGGGTCTCAGGGGAGCCAGCAAGTGCAAAGGCCCTGTGGGCGAGGGGCTCAGAACAGAACAGCGGCAAACTGCCCCCCCACTCTCGCGCTGCCCCTCCTGAAATGCCATGTCAGCTGCCCGACTCTGGTAAAACACTGTCCTACTTAAAACGTGTGCGGCCCGTAAGCCTCTTCTAGAGTTTATCTTAAAATAAGTGACAAGGATTCAGACACGAGGGTGCTCGACCTTTGCACCCCTGGGCCACACCCAACGCCTCTGGGTCTTGGCCACTTCTCTGGGCGTCTCCAGACCTGTCTCTTCATTTTGAAAGTGGGGCTGGGGCAACACCCTCCCCCAGGGCTCCTGGGGAACTGGGAAGCCCTGGGACACCTCGGCCAGGAGCCCCGCCAAAGCAGGCCGCACGCGTGTGGCTGTTGGTGAAGTTAGTAGCCAGAAAGAAAAGCCCTGGGGGACAGAGGGGCTGGGGCCCAACTCTGCAGGCAGGCGCAGGGCCCGTGGGCGGCTGCTCCGTGCTCGCCTCTGTTGAAGGACACAGCAGAATTGCCACAAGCAAAAAGTGAATGTTAAGGGAGCAAGGGGTTAAGCACCGCCCTAAGAAGCAATCCGCAGCATCTGCAGCAAGAGTTCGATCCCTGACCAGCCAGGGAGCAACCCACATGGCGCACAGACCTGCCGCGCCCACTGCCTCCCCTCAGCAGCGTACTTCGTTCAGTCCTTCTGCCTGTTCTGCTCCACGCTCTGTCTCTAGTGAATTCTTTCACCCCCCCGCATCTCTGGCCTGCACCCCAGCTCTTGTATGCATAAACAAATAAATCTTTTAAAAAAAAAGTGAATGTTAAAATGGGCATTAAAATGTTTATACTGGATGGCCCTGGCTTTACAACGGAAATACTCGCCCATCTTTGAGAGGGGTTCACGCCGGGTGCCTGTGACCACGGCCGCACAGCAGATTCCACCCTGGAGCTGCCCTCCGTCCTCTCCCCCCCCCCCCCCCCGCCCCAGTGCTCTGCAGCGGCTATGCCCAAGAAGACACTGACGACCTCCTCCCTGAGGGAAGGAGGGTGCTCAACCCTTGCCAGCCTGCTCGGAGCCGCACTTCCCACCCGCCAGGCCACAGCTGTGCTTCTCAGCAAGGCCACCTTCCTGGACAGGCGCTGATTCCTGCAGGTGGTGAGATCCGGTTCCACAGTCCTGCCTTTCTGGGGGACAGTGGGCTAGGGGACCAGCCCCACAAAGAAGAGAGGGAAGCCACATTCCCAAACTCAAGGTTCAGATTTGGCTGAGACAGACCAGGAGCCAGTATGGGGAGCTGAGGCGCAGAAAGGGGGAGAGAAGATGGAGAACATGGCCCTCAGGTTGTGAACAGGGGTGGGGGAGAGTGTGTGCTGTGCGTCAGGAGGATGGTGGACACGGAGGAAGGGAGGCTTCCAGGAGGAGGCTGTCAAGGGTCTCAAACCAGCAGGGGCCCAGCAGGTACCACTGAGTACCAGGAGGGGGCAGGCCCATGAGGCCCTCACTAGGCTTCTTGGAGAGGCCCTAAGGTTCAGGCCCATGCACCAGGGCACCAGCACCTGCCTGGACCCAGTAGACCTCTTTGCTGAGGAAAGATCAGGGGGCTGGGAGGCCAGGGCATGGGCTGGGGCTCTGTGATGGAGGGATGCCCAGCCAGTTCCCCTGACAGCCCCCGGTGCCAGATCTCTCCAGCCCTGGAGGGAAAGTATAAACCTTTAGACCTGGTGGGGGGCAGGACCCCACCAGAACCCACGCCAACTGCTCACCCATGGGTGGGTGGGGCAGCTTCAGGCTTGGGGGTGGGGTTTGTGGGTGTAGCTGGAACCACAAGGGTAAGAGACTTGCATGGTGAACAGGAAGCATTTGCTGAGAAACGGTGCCACCTAGTGGCAGGAGGAGCTTATGCCAGGTTTTGCGGGACGCTCATGGCCATCACCCCTCAGTTGCTCCTGGTCTTTGGGGTCTTTCAAGTTGGTGCACTGGAAGCAGTGGTCCAGCACTTCTGCCACCTGGGTGGCACCTGAGCCGCCTTGCGGCGCCAGCTGAGATTGGCTCTGCTAACAGAGAAGGTGGGCAGACCAGACCTACTTGGCCTGGGGCTTGCCACCAGCCTCCCCAGAGATGCCCTCCCCAGTCCAGCTTCCCCTCCAGGAGGCCCCTTCCTGGGCGGCGGTGGGGGTGTGTGTGTGTGTGTCAGGTCTGAGGGTGTCTGCCTGCGGGGATCCTGTGTCCACAGCGCCCACGCGCCAAGGCTCACTCCTGCTTGCTCAAGCCCGGTGAGGCCACTGAGACCCTCACTCAGCAGAGCTTGTTTTTATCCTCAAGGGGTGGTTTAGCTACGTGAGATAACGGAAGTTCCCTTAGAACTACTTCTAAGAACTTTTGTTCTTATTACAAAACAATGTAAGTTCAATGTCAAAAAACACTATTCTCCCCAAAATGCGTGAATGGGAATGTCCCCCATGCCTCTACCCAACTCCATTAACAGCGTGATAATCCAGCCTTTCAGCTCTCTGCCCCCCCCTCGACACGGGCACGTGCGTGTACGTGCTGCTATTTCTGTGCTGACACAGGTCTGTGACTTATGATGATTACGTTCCATCACGCCTTCTACCGGAGACAGGGAGGGGGACAGGAGCCAACCCAGCAGCTCAGAACCCACAGCTGTGACCCAGAGCCTATGACAGAAACCCCACTGGGTCCCGGTAGAGAAAGGGTTTCTCCCAGAAAAGCGGGGGACAGGCCTCCCCTCCCTGCCCCTCTCCAGAGAGGGCACAAACAGGCGGCTGCGGGAGCGCGGCAGGGCAATCCTGGCAAGGGAAAGCTGGGTCCTGGGGATGCCCCACACGAATCTGCTGAGTTGGGTGCACAGGTGGGTCAAGCCCAGGGTGCGCCAGACCTGCTCCCTTCCTCGGCCACCCCATCCCAAGACGCGCCCATGGCAGGCACTCTGCTTCTGGAAGCCGCGCATACCTGGGCACGCCCCAGGCCCAAGAGCTCCGGCCAACAGTAACAACTGAGTAAGCACAGACGGACCAGACGGAGACGGGGCTGGTCAGGAGACGGGGCTACAGCGGCAGATGAGCCTTCCAGAAAGGGGGCCACCCAGCCCCAGCTGCTCCAAGACAGACGCATGCCCAGGGCCCTGCCCCGACCCCGTAATTGGCTGCGCGACTTTGTGCTTCCGAACCCCAGTTCCCTTCCCTGTTAAGAGAAACAACACGACCCGCAGCTGTCCAGGCGGACTGAGCGCAGCGCCTGCAGGCGACTCACCTGCTCCCACCACCACCCTGGTGACTGGCAAACTGCACCCAAGAAGCATAACCCTCATGGGCACACAGAGACCGCCAGGACCACGGAGCCCCCCTGCCATGGCCAGGGACACCCCAGCCATGTGGAGCCCGCCCAGACCCAGCCCAGCATCCAGGCGGTTTCACACCTCAGGAGAGGGTGCTGGGTGGGCACGGATCAGGTCTGTGGCAAGCAGAGCCTCTGCAGTTACGGGCTCCCCAGACACCTGCAGTTTTTGCTGTTACAGGTCTCTAAAGGGGTCCCCCCCGGATGAACCAGGCTGGAGACCCTCGAGGCTGAGGCTCCACATGGAGGCAGCCGGGCTCTGTGGAGGTGGCTGTGGCTGGGCCTGCTGGGCAGGCCGGGAGGGACTCACCCTGGTCGATGGAGTGCGGAGGCAGCTGGCTGAGCTGGCTGCTGACCACGCCCGCGTAGGTGCGCAGGAACTCCTCCTCGCTGGCCGTCAGCTGCCGGGACAGGCTTGGGTGAGTGCAGGCCTCTGTTCCTGGGGCCTGACCACCCCCACCCCCGCCCGGGGACTGGGCCAGGAAGCCTGCGGATCTGGCCCTGGGAGTGGATTCTGGGTAGCACAGGATCAGGAGGAAGGCACGGGCCCCTTGCAGAGCCCCCCACGCCCCCCAGCTTCATGAGGAACACCCCTGCACACCTGCCCTGTTGGTGCCTGTCCTCGCCTGCTGGAGGATACCTCCAGGGAGAGGAGCCTTTCGGGGGGAGGGGAAGGACTGAGCCTTAGGACAAACATATCTGCTCCCCCACCAACAACAGCCCCTCTGCTCTGTGGCCCCAGACTGCGGCTGCGCTGCACTCACGTTCGAGCCCATCTTCCTCAGCATGAGCAGCACCCGGACCTTCTGCTGGATGTACATCTCCTCCGGACTCTTCCCGGGAGCCCCCTCGCGGTTCATCCCCTGGACAGCTCTGGGGACCCCTGCAGAGCAAGAAGAAGTCCCGGGGGGGGGGGTCGGTCAGGAAGGACAGCACGCCCCTTGATACAGACGCATGGGGTACTGGGCAGAAGATGGCAGCCACCACAGCACTTCAGCCCTTTTCTGAGAGCCTAGAGCGGGAGAGTTGCCTGGTCCCCCCAACATTCACTGCCCCTCCTCCCCACCAGCTCCATTCTAGAATGGTGCTCTCATGGCCAGCCCCCTGTGTGCGTAGTGCTGTCGGCCTGAGCTGACCCAGCCCTGTGGCCATCTCGACCTTCCGGCTGCGCCACCCACCAGCCAGGTGCCTGCAATAGCCACGATGTGGTGCTTGGAGCCCAGAGGGTCTGGGGTTTTTGAAGCAAGCGATTTCCAAGGAGCAGTGACGTGGCTACAGGCGCTGGCTGGGGTCTGTGTTTGGAGAAGCCGTGAAATCAGCTCCCTGCCCCCAAACACCAAGACGGCTCTCTCTGCCAAAGCCCCTGCGAGTTCAAGAGGCCAGCTCCTGGGCCGGGCTCCAAGGAGAGTCGGGAGTGGGCAGGGGCGGCCACGGGGCCCTCACGGGCCCACCCCCCAAAGAGGGTAGGCAGCAGCTGCGTCCAGGTGCAGCAGGGACCCAACCTGAAGAAAGGTGCCAGGAGAGAAGTCCCAGGGTCTCCTCCCTCGAGGAGGAGCTGGTGGGGAGGAAGCCAGGCGTGGAGGGGCTTGAGTTACACACTTATAACTCTTGGCTGAGTCAGAAATAACGCAGCAGCTGGTGGGGGCGGAGCCTCCGCAGCCCGGTGCCAAGGCGCTGAGCCCAGAGGGCGAGGGAGCTGGGCTGGCAGGCCGGGAACACGCCTCCCCAGTTCATCCCTGGGGGCTGCACGCCCTGGACCTGGAGGGCTCCTGGGGACGGTGACCCGCTAGGCAAAGGGTGGACTCAAATATGCTGGGGCTCCTGGGCGGCAGCACCCTCCTGGGGGTCCAGGTCAACTGCCCAGTCCCCAAAGCTCTCAGCCCCTAAGCCCACATGGCAGGCTAGAAGCTGGCAAGCTGGGGCCTTGTTATTAGCTGGACGCTGACGTGGTGGGGTCTCCTTAAGAGCCTTCCCGTCAGCTTCCTCCCATCACCCCCTGGCTCAGAAGAGGACCTCATTAATAACTGGTAGCTAGCAAAGCGGGTAAGTGGCTCAAGGGGCAGTGCCGCATCCCCTGGGGCCAGGCCTGCAGCGCTCAGACAGCCCGGACCTCCTGGCACAGCTGAGTGAGAAGTTTGCTCCCAGGAATCACTTCCCACACCGCCCCCTTTCTTCCTTCGCGCTCTGCCCCCCACAAGTAGCCAGGATGAGCTTTTTGAAAAACCAAGACCGGTGACATCACTCTTAGCTCCAAGCTCCTCAGAACACACTTTCCCGGAGGCCCCCGAGCCCCAGCCCCAGCGGCTGGCTCTCCCTCCTCGCCCCTCATCCTCCCCCGGCCCCCAGGCTGTTTCCCTAACATGCAAGAAGCTCCTCCCCAGCAGCCTTTGCACTGGTGTCTCCTCGCCTGGCACTGGCTTCTTCTGACTCTTCTTCTCATTCAAAGATGCCTTCTGGGGTGTCTCCTGACGGGGTGACCGAGACCCAGGCAGGTTCAGTGCCCCAGGCCCTCGGGGCTGGAAGGCCAGGGTGTGTGGCTTCGTGCAGCTCTCCTCCCACAACCCAGACCCAGCCCGGCTTGGTAACTCCTGCCTGTGGGCTGAAGGGAGCCTTCGGTGTCTAGCAGCCCCTCCCGACAACAGCCATGTCAATTTAGGGCCACATGTCATGGTGTTGAAAGAGCGCAGTGACCAGTGCAGCCTCCGGGACCAAAGCTCCTTTCCTTTCCAGAGCACGCTCGTTCCTGAGCAGCTGTGGGGCTCAGCGATCGTGCTCCCGGGACGTCTGAAATGCCACACGGAGCCCTCAGACTAGGGCTTCCAGGGTCACAATCTTCAGGGCTGTCCAGGGCAGGTGGCTAGTGGTCAGCGGGCCTCCCTTGTGACAGACAGGCTGGAGGCAAGTGACCGGCCACTAGGTGTCGCCACACACAAAAGAACCAGAGTGGCAGCAGGTGCCCCCCCCTCCCGCCCCCACTCACCTCACCTCCCCAACAGGCCCATCTGGTCCAAGCCCTTATTCTGAGCCCACAGTCACAGGCCACACCCCATTCTCAGGCCCTGGAGTTAATATTCATGCATTCAGGGACCATTCAGGGACGGATCCACCCAGGCAAGTTTTGCCAGGTAACGCAGGCCCTCGGGAGGTCTGGCTTTCCAGTGCTTGCTTCCCCACCTCACCACAGGCCCTTCCTGACCAGCCAAGCTTCCTCCAAGACAGACAGGGGCACAGAAAAAACAGGTGGGGAGAAGGAGGGAGAGAGGTTACCCCAGGTTTCCGTTTTGCAGCACCTCGCCCAGCCCAGCAAGCTACTCCCCACACCTGCACAAATGGGCATCGCTCCACCGCCTCCCGCCTCTGTAGCCTTGCATGCAGTGGTTTTGGGGAGGTCATGCCGCCCCACCCCTGGGCCTCGGGAGTCCTCTGTGTGTGACGGTCTTGCCAGGTTGCCCCCAACTATGATGCGTCCCCAGCAGACTGCTCCCTGCCTGTCTGTTCTCTCCTGCTGAAGATCCTGTCGCTTCTGAAACTCCTGGCCTCAGATTTTCCAGTTCTGGGGGGAGCTGATAGCCTTGATGCTGACGGCGGGACGCATGGTGGAGCTGGGCGGACTGTGGCCAGCAGCACACGCTCCCGCGCTTCCCGCTCCAGCGCAAGAGGCTGGAGCCTCCTAACCGCTCCTCACTCCACCCTAAACACAACCCACACCAAGGGCATCGACGTGGGGAAATGCACGGCTGAAGAGGATAAACCATGATCAACCCAAACAACAGCGACACGGCAGCTGTGACGTCCCACGTATACTAAAGCGCATGCTTGGGTTGGTGCCCGTCCAAGCAAACGTGCCATTAAATTTTCATCACTGTCCCGACAAGCATCAGATTAACTTCACTTAAGAATTCTCCTCCCCTGTAGGGATCAAGAACTGGGCTCATTAGAATGTGTCTGAATTACATAAGCCCACACTGCGACTAATTTGGAAACACTCATTATTCACGCGGTCATCAGCCATCAGCGCCACAGTAAAGAGGCTTCTCAATTATGGTCTCCGGGCTCAGCCCTATAAACACCCTGTCGTCTGCTTCCATTCTGGAGCCTCCGAAAATCTGAGTGTTAACGACCCTTGTCGGAGGCAGGCAGACCTGCTCCCTCCCTGAAGACAGCACCATTCTGGAAATGGACTTGGGAACGGCACCGATAGCCAAAAAATGGCAAATGGTGAGAAGCAGCAGGCACGGTCAAGCACCAGGTGACTGGAGAGGGGACAGCCTGCAGCTGAAGAGGAGGCCAGAGATACATGTGCAGGTGGAAAGTGGGGGCGATTCCAAATAGTCACATCTGACCCAGGCAAATGCCACCAAGGGACCTGAGGGGCATTCACCACAGACACAGAGATACCGCCACACTGCCCTGTGGGTTCTGAGCCCACATCCCTGTTGAAGGAAGGCTGGCTGGTGCAGGACAGTGAAGAAGGGGTCCCTAGCCACCAGGGAGGATGCAGACAAAATGACAGATGTGGCCGTGGCCTAAGAAGCCGCCATGTTCTCTGGGAGACACCCAGGCCACACGGGAGAGACAGTCTCCTGCGCAGCCTGGGCAGTGCCCTTGTCTCCACTAGCATATGCCCTCCAGCTCTGAAGCGCTGATCTCACTTTAGAAGAATCGGGAAGGTGTGCGGGAGGGACAGGAGAGCAGGGCTGCCAGCTGCTGCACGCAGCCATCAGGACGCTCATGAACAGCTCCGAGAGCTGCCACCTTTGACAGGCATGAGCGGGCGTGAATACTAACAGGCACCTGCGCGCATTTGTATATAACCTCGAAGCCAATGCTGTCTGAACACTCCCGTTCCTATAAACCAAAATATGCATTTATGCCCTGGGTGGTCTTGCACCTGCTTGTGAAACCCCGAATAACCTCACGCTGGGCTGGACAGCAGGAGGTCCTGGAGGGACGCACACCCTCCCCGCCAGCCAGGCCTGACCAACTTGCCCTCTACTAAAGGAAAAAAAAATGATGATTCATTTTAAATGCTTATATTTTAAAATGCACATTGACGTCTGTACAATGTTTAAATCACATAAAAATACAATCTTAAATAATTGCAAGTAATTGCATGGTTCATAGATTGCCTATAAAATGCCCGTTCAGAGGCCGTACACACCTCAAGGGGCTAAGAAGAGCAGCAGAGCCCCTGCCCTCCCCGGGACGGTGGGCAGAGTCAGGAGCCAGCTCCCTTCCCGGTTGGCCCTCGAGCAGTCCGTGAGGCCTGGCAGACACTGCCCCAGGGCCATGGCACCACACGTCCTTCCCCTCAGGTCCTTACCTGCTCCTGGAAATGAAGTTCAGACAAACAGGTGCTGGACTGTGACGGGGCAGGCTGTGGTCAGGGAGAAATAGGCAGGCGTGGCCCTGTGGAGACACAGAACAAGGGTCAGGGGCGGGGCTGGGTGGAGCCCCATGGCACACGCCACAGTAGGGACACGGAAGGCGGCAGGAGCCAGGAGAGCGGCTTTGCCGTGGTCCAGAAAGACCTGTGTGTCTGGCCTGCCCAGGAGCCTGCACCAGCACCTCTAGGGGAAGGTGCTGAGGCAGCTGTCCTTGCCTGTCATTTCCGGTCCAAGCAGGTCACACACACCCTCCTCCTCCCTGGGCTTAGTCAACTGGTCCTGTGTGAGCCAAGCTCAGAGACGCGCGCAGCAGCACACAGCATGAATCACTGTTCAGCTGATGGGCAGGAACTGTGGGGAGCCCCAGCGCCCCACCCAGCAAACCCCAGCTACCAAGCAGGACCCGCCTCTCAGGCCGCCCACGTGCACTGAGGCTTGTGCGGGGGTCAGTATTGGTGATCAGGTATGTCAACACGAATGGACATGCGGGTACAAGTCATCGAAGACTCTGGCCACGTGTCCACTGGCCCCGGGCACACCTCTTCCAGGGAGCTCGGCCTTGCTTCTGCCTACACGTGACCTCATGATGGGGTGCCCTGCAGGCTTCTCTGGCAGGAGCGCAGTCGGGTGGGTGTCAGGCACAGGCAGGGCTCCAGGCAGCCTGCCCTCCTGCCCCAGGCAGCCACCTCCTCCAGGCAGTCCTTGGCATGCATGCATACAGGTGGACTCCCAGCTCTTAGCCCTGCGGCCTGGACAGAGGTCCAAGGAAGGTGCCCACAGCCTCTCTTCCACTTTCCTGGGGGTTTCTGCAGGGAAAGCTGTGCGCTCACCCGAGGGGCTGGGAGACCGGGGTTCCAGAGCAAGTGAGATCACAGACGCCTCCCCCACAGGCACACACCACGCTAACCTCTGGGTCTCTGATCTGCCTCTCCCTCTGGCCTGCGGAGGGCCCTGGGGATGGAAGTCGTCACCCACCGCTGCCACCCCCTCCACCTGAGACTACCCCCCAGGAACAGACCCTGCAGACCATGAGAGCAATTAATTACTCTTTTATTTCCCTGGATATCAAAGCCCTGAAATACCAAGGAACCCTGGGGAACTTCCCACCCAAGTCCCCACATTCCTCAGGAAGAGATGAAAAGACACAGCCTCTCCCTCCGCTGAGGGGCTTACATTTCCTCAGCTACCACAACAGCCAATTAGCCTCCCACTGCCTACAGGCAGGCCCCCCAGAAGCAGAGAGGAGCTGTGTGCTGGACTCGTAGGGGCCAGGGTCCTGGAGTCATGGCCAGGGGTTTCACTGGCCACCTCGTGGTCAGGTCAGGCCCTCCAACTTGCAGAGGAGGAAACGGAAGCTCAAGGCAGTGGCGCCCAGGGCCAGTGTCGCAGCAAGAGTGCCGCGGCCAGGTTGTTTTCGGTTCTGCTTCCGGTCGATGGGCTGTGCAACCTGAGGTTCGGCCACTGCCCTCTGGGCCTCTCACTTCACCATTTGTAAAAAGGAAATCACAGCACACACGCCCCTCCCCCCAGCAGGCACCTTGAGGTCAGGGCTGGCTCTGACCTGCGGCCTGGGCTCACCAGGGCCCCACGCCTGGCTCAACGCTCTCCTGTCACCATCTTGAAATTCTGAATAATTTTTTGAACAAGGGGTCTTGCATCGGACCCCACAGATTATGTGTTTGGTCTGGAACGAGAAAAAAGCAGTGGAGGCACTCTCAAGCCCGGCCCTTAAGTAGAAGCTGCCTGGCCTCGAGGGGGAGGTACTGAAGCCTCCCCAGGTGTGCTCTGTCCACGTCAGGCGCGGGAAGAGGAAGAGGTGGCCAGAGGCCAAGGGAGCCCCACAGCACACGGCCAGCGGAAAGCAACACCGACGACGGGCAGGAGGGAGCCAGGGAGATGGGCCGGGCGGAGGCGCCAGCACCTCGGGAGGCCGACAGCATGGGTCAGCCAAGCGCCGCCGCCGCCCCGGCAGCGGGCAGCGGAGGCAGAGGGAAAAGACCGAGGCTTCACCCCAGAGAGGGGGCAGGCAAAGCTCTACGAGGACACAGGGCAGGGGCCAGCTGCCGAGGCCTCCGGGGCAAGACCCTGCAGTGGGGCCTGGAGGGAGAAAGAGGACTCTGTCGGCAGAGGGGCGGGCGGGCCCTGCAGGCACAGGGAGCAGGCGTTCTCCGAACAACTGCTGAGCGCTGACGACAGGCAGGCCTGTGCCAGGCACGGAAGACGCACTTGAGGAGAAGAGCCGCGGCCCCTCTGTGATGAAGGATGAGGGGCAGCAGGTCCTCGTCAAGTCAGACCCAGTAACTGCATCCTCAGACACAGAAACAGGGCGGGGGGTAAGCGCAGGGGCCCGAGGACACAGCTGGGGGCTGAGCTCCCCCGGAGGCCCCATCAAGGAAGTGTTGAAGCAGGGGAGATTTAGCCTCTGGGAAAACGAGGGAGGTGGCGCTGAGGCCTCGGGAACCAGGCGAGAGGGCTCAGGGTGAGCGGGCACTAGACCAGGCAGGTCTCTAAGGTGGGCGAGGAGTCAGGAGAAGCCTGAGTGGCTGCGGCGTGAGAAGAGATGGGCAGAGGTGGGGGGAACTCCCAGCCCGCCAGGCGGGAGCAAGGGCTTGGCCCGGGCGTCCCAGAGGCGACGGTGAGGATGGGAGGTTGGGCGCACGGGCCGTCGTGCTGTGTAGGAGCCTGGGCGCCGCAGTGGCTGCGGGAATGGGGGGGGAGGTCTGGCACATGAGGACTGCCCGGTGCACTGGCAAAAGCCCGAGCACAGCCTGAAACGGCTGGCACCAGACCATGTGTGCACAGAGAAGTTAGGGGAGTCCGGAAGCCACAGGGCTCCAGCCTTCAGATTAAGTGGGTGCTGTGGGGAAAGGGCCTGAGCCCTGTGGACTGGATGGGGTGTGGGGCTGGGTGAAGGTGGGAACTGGGGAGGCCCGCTGCAGACAGCGCACACGCCGGGGCCCGGCCAGGGGCCGGAGATGGCCCAGGACAGAAGGCTCAGCGGTGCGTCCTGAGCCGCTCTGCAAGGTGGGGCGTCCCGCCCGCCAAGCACTGCGACCTACTGAGCAGGGCGGGCGGCGGCGAAGGGCAGAGTGTGCGGGCGGACGTGACGCCGGAGCGCAGGTGACGAGGTGGAGAGGCCACAGGTGGGAGACGCCTCGGGAATGTCAGGCCCAGGAAGGGTGAGGTGAGGTGCCTGCAGCAGCCAGGCAAGGAGAGGAGCAGGGAGGGAGGCCTGCTGGGCGGGCCGGGGGTGAGGGTGAGGCGGGCTGCTGAACTTCCCCGCGTGGGAGAGCCGTGTGGCCACGTAGCAGAATCAGGAAAGGAACTTGCCAGGCTGAACCAGAAGAGTTCAAGAAGAGTGGCCCCAGGATGGGGAGTGCATCCATCTGGAAGCGCAAAGGGGACGTGGTTGCTGCTCACAGCCAGGTGGGAAGGGGCGGCTTTCCGAGGAAGAGGAGGAGGCGGGAGGAGGCGAGAGGGGCTTCCCCGGGCCAGCCTGGCTCCTGTTCTCCATCGCGGCACCTGTTAACCAGTGACTGCCTGAGGTCCCCGCACCCAGCTTCATCAGGTCAGGATGGGGTCCGCTTCAGCAGCCATAGCAATGCCAGGGCCTGAACCAGCATCTGGGGCATAAGCAATCAGCCAGCGCCTGGTGTGGGGTGACCTTCGTGGCCGCCCTGCAGTCCTACCTGTCCCCGTGGCCCTCGCCCAGGCACACGCTTTGTCTGTGCCAGCTCTGCTGCCACACTCGGGCCCAGGGAGCCCAGCACAGGGGTCTTAATCTCAGCTTTGCCGCTCGCAGGTAGGGTCGAGGGAAGAGGAAGCCTCTGAAGATGCTGAGGGCAGGAGGGAGGAGAAATCACACCACAGAGGCCGCTTTAGGGCTGGTAGAGAGCCCCTGGCCCTGACTGTGCAGGCCTCGCTCCTCTGCTTTTCCTAATAAACCTGCCCTTGTGAAATGGAAAAGAAGAAGAACCGGTAGAGACAGCAGGGAGCAGGGTGGAGGAGGAGAGCAGCAGAGAGGGGTGTTCAGGCCCTGACCACTGGGGGCTGCCCAGTGCAGGGTCTCCTTACTCCCTCCTCACCCCTGACCAACCCGGGACCTGAACGCGAGCCCCACACCCCAGGCTTCTCTGAGCACGTGACCCCCGGGACAAAGTGACCACCCACCACCCCTGGGCACCAGTTCTGAGTCAGCTGCCTGAGAAACACTGAGCAGGAGGAAGAGGCCAGCGTGGAGAGGAAAGGGTGGGGGCACAGACCTCCACCCCCCCACAGCGGCACAGAAGGGCTCGAATGGGCCCCAGCACCCCCCGCCCCCCCCACAACTGACACTCGCCTGTGCGCATGCCTGAATCTGCTCTGAGGGAGGCTGCCTCGAAAGCATACAAACTAGCATGGAACCAACATGCAGACGGCAACATAAAGGAGCACGCTGTGACGGGAGGCGTGAGAGCGCTTCGAGCCAGGCCCGCCCAGGAGCCCCGTGACCAGCAGCCACGCAGCCGGGGCCATGTCACTCTCGGGCCGCCTGGTCTCGGAGGGTGCATTCATTCATTCATTCATTCTACCAAACAGCTAAGTGAGCACCGACTGCGTACCTGTGGGGGCACATTCTAGTGGGGGGGGGCGGACAGAACAAAGTGAACGAGGAAGCGGTGGGCGAATCCAGCGTGGAGGGAGGTGAGAGCTGCTTTCTCTTCTCCCCGCCCCCTCCAGTTCACCCAACCCCAAACTGGTTCAAAAGAATAAGGGGCAAAGTGCTATAGGGGGGTGTCAGGGCCTTACTTCCCCATTCCACAGCTGCCCCCCATCACTGGGAGGCTTTAAAGTGGGGTGTCAGGACACCACATTCTGGATGGGGTCATTCTCTGCAGCGTCCCTGGGATCAACCGCCAGATGCCACCCCTAGGTAGTGACTACTAAGAGGCCAAACTCTCGCCTGGTGGAGAGCACTGCTCTAAAGAAAGAGCCACGGCCGCCTGGCGCAGCTCTCAACACCGTGGAGACACTGCTGTGAGGTTTCACGAATGAAGAAGACAGAGGTGCAGTGTCTCGCCCGGCCCATCTGGGGTAGCCCTGGAACCAGACTGTCCAGGCTTTTACTCGGATGCTTCCCGCCATCCAGGATGGGAGCGGATGGGTAAGGAGGCTCGGAGCCAGGGAGAGGGAGGCAGGACTGCAGCTGGTGCGGCAGATCCCACCCCGGGGCCACATCTTAGGTCCTCCAGTGGTATCAAAACTGGGGCGTCAGAGAGAATAATTAAACTGCAGCCTCATGAGCAACCGCCGTAATTAATAAATTCCACCATCAGCCGCCTCTGTCCAGAGCTGGGCTCGGCAGTCTCGAGCTAGGCGGCCCCAGCACGAGCCAAGCAGGTCTAATGACAGCCCTGGGCAGCCAGGGAGTTTGCAGGACGCAGGGCCATCCACGGGGTGAGCTGGGGGTAAGGAGTTTGTCCTGAGGTGGCCAACCCACATTCAAACGTGAGCCAGAGCTCCTTCCTGCTGGGGAGCGGGGACGGCAGCACAACAATGATAATTGCTGTGGCTGCAGCATCTTTCGAAGGGCCAGGCGCAGGGTCGGCCACGCTCAGCACACTCTCATTGCTTGAGTCCACGCAACAAGCCTGCGAGGTAGGAATTATTCCCACTTTATAGAGACAGCTGAGGCTCCGAGAAGGTATGTGAACGGCCCAAGGCCACAGAGCGAGCAACAGAGCCCGGATTTGGAGTCAAGTGTCCCTTTCAGCCCACTCTGGCTCAGGTGTGGATGGAGGTATCAGCCATTTCAGCTGACATTAAAGCAAAAATCCATTTTAGGGGAAAGAAAAGAGAATCCAGGAACCCCAACTATCACCAGTCAGAAAATAAGATAAGGGGGGCCTCCCCGGTGGCGCAGCGGTTGAGCGCTGGGTTGCGAGGCTGCCCGCGGCCTCTGCAGTGCCGGTTCGATCCCCGGCTGCTCCCCGGCCACCGGAGGAGGGTCCCACATGGCGCGCAGACCTCTCCTGCCGCCCGCTGCTCCCCTCAGCAGTGTACCTCGGTCCTTCTGCCTGCTCTGCTCCCCACTCTGGCTCTGGTGAATTCTCTCACCCTCCCGCGCTTCTGACTGTACCCAGTGCTTGTATAAATAAATAAATTCTTTAAAAAAAAAAGAAAAAGAAAATAAGATAAGGCCGTGTAACACCTGGGCCCAGGGAACGGTCCTTGCGAGGGTCCAGGGAGGTTGGGGGGGGGGGTCATAAAATGGACAATTGGGAAAAATTCTTTTCTGTCCCAGGAATTGTGACCAAATTGAAAAACGTCTCTCATTAGACATGCGTTAAGTTAAATGTGAGCCTTTGAAACACCTCATAATTTTTGTGATCCTGTTTAGCCCGCCCTGGTTTTTAGTACACCAAGAGATTTGAGAGCCTAGGACGGATGACCAGCCGATCGGTGGTGAGTCGGCCCGACAGTGGCTGCCCACTCCTGGGGAGGCATCGACGGTGATGCTTAGCGATGTATGATAATGGTGGTTGTCGTCCGTTTGCTACCAACAAAAAAACGGTTGTCAAACTCTACTGGTCTGGAGAGCCCTGACCACAAAAGGCACCAATTGCCCTGCACCTCCAAACTGCTCAGGAGGGAAGTGCCCGCAGTCAGGTTCCCAAGGGTGCCGCTGGCTCCATCCACCCACATCTTGGACTCTGGCTGGGGAGCGTATGTGACCCCCCCCCCTTTTCAGCAGCTGTTCCTTGTGGGGGAGAGTCATATATGGGTCTTGTTTTTTCTGAGTTCAAGAAAAATGTTATTTCTCACCTCAGTTCCCCGTTACGTGTATTCTAAAGTATTTTATTTTTTTGAATGGGAAAACATTAAAAAGCCACTGGAGAGGTGTAGGGTAAATGAAGATGCTCAGGCTTTTGCGCTGTTGGCCTTAGTGGCATCACCTGAGGCCTTGAATGTGGGCGGCGCTTGGGGGCGCAGGCGTGGAGCACACATGCGTGATGGGGGACACCTGGAGTGTGGTGTGGGCACGTGCAGGTGGGCACACCTGAGCCGAGACTGAGCCTATAAGAGAATGGCTACATGGGGACGAGATCACGAGAGGACGCCAGAGAAAGATTTGCTGGAGGCCAAGAGGGAGGCCTGCCGCGCTACAAACGGCATAGAAAGATCATTAAAAGCCTGAAAAAGCCACTGAGGGCTCTGGGACTCTCCTTTGCTGCTCTGCCTGTGCCCACCTGCACTACAACAGGTAACAAGTGGGGAGAGACCTGCAGTTGCTCTGCAGAGGCCCCTCAATATGTAAAATTCCATGTGTGATCCATCCAGATGGCCCCCCGTTGACCAAAGTGGGGCCTTCAGGAGTGGGGGTCGCTAGGAACCCACACAGATGGCCCTTGTCCTGTGGGGCCGCTGGGCGACTGGCATGGGAACAGCCAGGATGCTCACTGGAAACAGCTCCTGCCTCAGGGCCACCCCCCACAGCCTTGCACTCACCCTGTCCCAGGTGAGAACCCCTCTGATCGGGTCCTTTGGGGGAAGGTTCCCGCAGCATTAAAGTCAAATCCACTGGCCCTGATTCAGAACAGCCCAAGGGCAAGCAGCGTGTGTGGCCCTCCTCCACCTCAAACCCCCCCCCCCACACCCGCCAGCCGACCTGAGGACCCAAGACGGGCACGGAGGCCCAGGTAGGCTGGAAAGGGGCACCTGGGGCACCCGAGGGCCTCGGTGCGTCCTCCTCTCTGTGGCACGACTCCCTTGCAGGGCCCCTCTTGCACATGGCACCCTTGGGCGTGTCACACAAACCAAAGGGCTCCGGGACAGGCCCGAAACACTGAGAGCCAGCTCCCCAGGACCTGCCTGCTGGGTGGGAGGTGGGGAGCAAGGGCTCCCTTCATCCAGCCGCTGCCCAGCTGTTCTCTGCACAGCAGTGGTTCTCAGTTGGGGGAGTTTGGCAAGGTCTCGAGACATTTTTGATTGATTGGGCTGGGAGGATGCTGCTGGCTAGGATTAGGGGTCACAGCACAGGCCAGGCCACATGACAAGGCACTATCTGGTCTGTGTGCATAGCACTGGGTGGCAGAGCCTGCTCGGCGGGCCTCGGCGGCCCCCTACACCAGGCTCCCTCCTTCCACACCCCAGCCCTCTGCACCTGTCATTCCTCCTCCCTCTGTTTCTGCTGTGCCTCACTTTATCTGGGTTGCTCCGAGGCCCGGGAGGTACCCTGCCCCCTTCCTGCACTCACAGCTCTGCTGCCCTGACACGGCCCGGCCCGTCGGTCTGCAGATCTGCCTCCACCCCCAGCTGGGAAGCTCCCTGAAGGCCTGCACGTGGAACTTGAGACCCTCACAGGCCCAGGGAGCCCTGTTCTCAGACATACCAAAATGGACCACATCCCCTAACTCACAAGAGGAAAGGGAGCTTGAGAACCTTTTATTCCAGGTCTGATGATTTTGTGGACCTTTGAAAAGCTTATAGGTCCCAACTGGAAGAATCCAGATAGAAAGGACGGTGCTTCTGCTCCACAATGGCTAAGTGCAGGGCTGGGTTCCAAAAGTCTTAGATTCCCTGGGGAACCAGAAGGAAGTCCCCCAGTCTTAGAATATCCTTGTCTCCGAGAAGCCAAGGCACGGGGGAACTGAAGGAGCCCGTGTGTGTATTTATAACGTTCACATAGCCGGACTGGCGTAAGGTGTCTGTGTAGAATTTCTGCTTTAAGAAATGCATCCCTGCGGTTTGGGCCCGATGGGTAGAAAGCGTTACCCAGCTCTCACTGACTCTTCCCGTCCTGAATTGGGTGAAACTCACCTTTTTGCAGCTAAGAGGGAGCACCTGGCAGGCTCTTGCTGTTCAGCTGGGAACAATACAAACAGGAAGGGACCCTGGGGCCGAGGCAGCTTCCGCACAGCTCCGCCAGGGACTCCCGGCCAGGCTGAGTCCTCAGGCCCCAGAGCGTGACCTAGCAACACATAGGTGGTGGCTCTCTCGCCACACAGTAGGGGACAAGGACAGAGGAAAGAAAGACATCTTTTGACCTAATTTATAAAAAGCGACTCCTTTTTTCTTCCCTGGGAACAGCTGGAACCCTGAAAGCTGGCCAGGCCCCCGCCTGAGAGCTGAAGTCAGGAACCAGAGCCTACAAAATCCGCTCCGGATCTTCCTCGACTCAGGGTGACTCGTGACCTTCGGCCTCTGGCAGGTTCTCAGTGGGTGGGTAAGCAGGCTCTGGAGCCTGTTCTATTTATAAGCCAATGTGAGGGCTGGAATCCTCAGCTCTCAGGTGGTGCAAGCCCCGCCCCCTCCCCCTGGGCCGGGTCTTCCAGGCTGGACTGAGCGCCTGGCAGTGTCAGGAGCCCACCTGTGTAAGCTGGTGGCAAAAAGACCCTTTTTCTCTCCTGTGACCTAGATCCATGCTAGAAATGCCCCAGCAGGTGGGCCCCCACACCCCTGCAGGAAAGCTCAATTTGCATTTCTGGTCTGTCTTTGGAAGTCAGCTCTAGGCTGGAAAGAGCAATTCCTAACCTAATAATCCTGGGAAGGAGCCAGGCCAGGAGATCTCACAGTCTGGGGGTCACCTCCAGGGGCCAGGTGGAAGGTGTGAGTCAGGGAAGCCCTATCAACTCTGCTACCCAGTTATGTCCACTTTTAAGGAGTCACTGTTCAAATTTTTAATTAGGGCCTCCCTGGTGGCACAGCAAGTTAAGCAGAGCACCGTGAAGCTATCCGCGGCCTCTACAGCATGAGTTCGATCCCCAGCCAGACAGGGAGCTACCCACATGGCGCAGCAGACCTCTCCTGTCTCGCCCGCTGCTCCCTTCAGCAGTGTTTTCGGTCAATCTGCCTGTTCTGTTCCCCACTCTGTCTCTGGTGGATCCTCTCACACTCCCACACCTCTGGCCTCTACCCCAGTTCTTGTATGCATAAATAAATAAATATTTTTTAAAAAATAAAATAAATTTTTAATTAAACTTGGAAATTTAAACGTTATTTTGAAGAGGAAGGGGAGAGCCCGGCCCAACAGGAGTGGTGCAGGTCCCTTCTCTCAGTCATGTGGGCAAGCCTGGTTCGCAGGCAGGCCCAGGCGTGGCCCGGCCAGCCCGCTCAGGGCCCTGGCAAAAATCGCAGCCTGCACCAGCTCTTCTCGCTGTGCCCCACTCTCTGCCCACCACCTCCCTCCTTAAAGTCCCCTGTAGCTGCACCCCCTCAGAAGTCCAGACGCAGGCTTAGGCCTCCTACTCCTGCCCCCAGCTGCCGGCAATTTCTGGGCCTCAGAACCCACTGCTCCACTCCCCAGCTCTGGGCCCCGCCAAGAGGCCCCAGGCATGGCCTCCTGGAGGAGATTTTCTCCTAAAAGCTCTTAGAAAAGTTGTAGGGTTATTGCTTCTTCTTTCCTACAGGCTCTTAGCATATAGGTATGTGCTAATTTGCATAAAAACACAGGTATGTCTGTCTGCCTCGCAAACATGCATACCATCGCTCCAAATTGCCAAGATCGTTGCACACCCACACATCACATCGGCCACGCGGCTTGCTTGTCTGGATAACTGCCGCCCCGCGGCCTGCGGCCTCCCCTGTCCCTTCCCTCCAGCTGCCTCCCAGAAAAAATAATCCAAGAAAAAGGAAACCTCCCCCGAACGGGCCGCTGAAGACTTGGTTTCCTTCCTCCCTATATGTTGAACAAGCTGATAATCAAAATCAAAAATATTTTAAACAAAGACTACTCCCGAACGGACCGTGCGCTGACTCCAGTAACTGTGGAGGAAGGCGGAAGCCCCGGTCACGGAGCCCGCCCGGGGTGAGCACAAGGACCCCAGCGGCTGGTGCTTAGGGGCGGGGGAGCTGCCCAGAAAAGGCAGCACCTGGTACAGCTGGGCCCCACCCAGTCGCCTGGAGGGTCTGCCCAGGAGAGAAGCGGACGGGAGGCCCTGTTCCCGTGTCCCCATTCCCGAAGGGTGTGGGTACAAACACCCAGACTGGGCACACCCCAATGATCCAGTTCAGGAGCCAAATTCCCATCATCCATTTGTAATGACATCCCCCGGTCCCAAAGCCACGAAACCATTAGTCACCAAGCCACGGAAAGAAGCAGAAGCTTCCGGCAAAACTGACCTGTTAGCAGAAAGAGTCCTGGTTTTACAGGCCAGCTACTCCCCAGGCTGTCACATGTCACGCAGTGAAACCCAGGAGTCTTTTCACAAGCTGGTATCCACAGAACAGGCAGATTTCTCTCTTGCAAAGACTCTCAGTGGGGAGACAAGGCGGTCATGACACATCGGTGTGGTGGCGCTCCCGAGGAGCCCCAGAGACCTGAGCTCCCCTGCAAGTTTACTGGGAGCACATAACTGTTAAACCAGAGGCAGGCACATGGGAATGCCAGGTCTGACCTGCTTCTAGAAAAGCCGTGTAAGTCTGCTAGAAACATACTGTCACGAAAACCTCCAAGTCCCCTGAAGCCGCCGACTCACCGCCACCCTGGTCTCCTCTGCGGGATGGGCACCCGTGCCGAGGGCACTGCCTTGGCGCTCGAATCACGGAAGGTAAGCACAGATATCATGCCCTCTGCTGAGCGCCTCCTCGCCTATCCCCAACCCCCCCCCCCCCCACACACACACTTGACCGCAGGCCCATGCAGGGCTCGGCTCCGGCTGCGGCTCCTTCCCTGCTCCAGTCCAGCAGGGCTCACCGGCTTCTCTATCACATTCACATTTTTAGGGCCCAGGACCATTGCCTTTAGGCTGCCCCACCATCTGTCCAGTTGTTCCTTAAACATCTGGGCATGAGCAACTACTAGCACGTGTGCACGGAGGGCCGCCGTCAGGCACGGGGGAAGCGCGTCTCTGGGCTGGGAACGCAGCGGGGGGAGGAAGACTGAGTTCGCCACAGCCTGCTGGGCGCGGTACCATGTCCTTGACCCGCTCAAAAACAGGGCTCACTTTTTTTTTCCCCCGCTAAGGCAGTGGGAGGGGGTCAGAAGAGGAGAATAAAGAGAAACTCTTTATCTGGGTGGTTGGGACAGTCCCGCGCAGGGCCTGCTGCTGAGCACTCAAGCTCCAACCTCCCTGTCCACCGGCCTGGGACACCTTCTCTTCCAGGGAGCTGGGAAGTGAGAGTGGACACGCACCCACGGACCCCCAGAGAGTCGGAGGTGGGGTGGGGGGTACGGAGGCCCTAGGCCCGAAGGAGGAAGGAGCACAGGGCGGGCTCCACTGCCACCCCACCGGAAGGCCACTCTGTGCAGGGAGGCAGAGCCGGGGCCCTGGACGGATGCCCCCACTTCTGTGGCTTACACTTCTGTGAGGCCCACCATGTCCTCCGAAAAATCACAGCACCCGGTCTCCCCACAACTCCAGGGAGCAGCCGGGAGGACGCTGTGTGCCTGCAAGGTCAGTCCCTGGGCAGCGGGGGCAGCGAGACCCTCTGCCACAGCCGGGAAGCCACGTGCCCAGCACCCGGGCCTGAGGTCACAGTCCACCTGTCACCGACCCTGGCAGTTTCCCTGTCACCTTTTGCTCCCTCCTTTGTAAACAAGACCGGATCATTCAGGGACTCAGAGCTACCACTTTAAAATCCCCAGGTCACTTGGCCACACTCACAGCTCCACTATTTAAGTCAAGCCCCCTACCCCCACCCACCCATAAGAAACAATTAATTACAAGTGGAAAGTCATTTTCAAGTCCTCTACCTGGAGAGGGCAGGAGAAATCGATGGGGCCCAGAGCAGGTTTTAGTTCATGTTCCTGTCGTAAAAGAACATTCTGCAAAGACTCTGGTCAGGATGGGTCTGCAGGAGCCGGGTGGCCTGGGGTGGGAGCTGAGAGGCCACGGCTGGGCAGGGAGGACAAGGCTGACCCAGCTCCTTGGAGACCTGGTGACTTCACAGGAAGAGCAGGGCGGGGTCCACACTGTGAGAGGTACCTGAATCCCCGCGGGACCCTGACCCCCCCCAGGAAGCCCCGCTCGCAGGGTCCAGGACTGCGAAGGACAAGGTGGCGACTCCATCTGTCTCGGGGTGTCATTCAGCTCCGCGACACAGACCACAGGATTCCAGCAGCAGGAACCATGCGGGCTGGATACTCAGGAGACACCCAACCTGAACAAAACCTTAACTGGAGCTGGTCTCCACAGCCTCCCGCCCGCTCTCCGCGCGGGAGAGGATGTGGAAGTGGGTCACACTCTCCCGGCTGAGCCGGTGTCGCTGTGGGCTCCAGCCACACTTGAGGAACTCCGGGGACACCGTGTGACCCGCTCTCCTTGCTGAGCCAGCCATTCCCTCCTGATCAGACACTGGCTCTGCGCAGCCCTGGCCGGAGGGGCAGCTGACTAGCACCAAGAAGCCTGAGCCGAGACACCAGCAACACCCCACTGCCCCGCTGCCGCCTCTCTCTGCGAATGTGGCAGCAGCAGCCAGTCCTTTGCCCTCCGAGCCAGCCTGGTGGAGGCAGGGAGGGAGGACTAAGAACACCGTGTGCTTTCCCACGGGCCTGCAGGATCCCGGGCCCGGGGTGCTGGGCCGACTTGGGGAATAACGGGCTCTCCCCCACCCTCCTCGGCACATACTGACCCAGAAAGGGCTTGGACACAGACATCCACAGGCATCGCTCCTCCGGGATCCCTGTGGGCAGCTGGGGAGCATGGGCAGCCACCCACAGCCTGCCCGCCCCGTACGCCCCATCTCCACAGCAGAGGGCTGGGATACAGGGGAACTGCAGGAAGGCATGGTCTGGGGCCCCGATATAAGGGGCCAGATAAGTGTCATGACCTCAGAAGTTTCTGGGCGACCCCACTGCCATCACCCCTGGTGGGACCTCAAGTACAAAGAGTTAAGGCTCCACGGAAGGAGGAAACCAGCAGGGCCGAGCCCTCACCGTGGCTGAAGGTGACACCAAGGGCCGTCTGTGTTTCGTAGACACACTCAGGGACTCTTCCCTGCTCCTCCAGGAAGCCAAGCACAGCCCTCGGGGCAGGCCCCCAGGAGCCCACCTGCACCACTGGAGATGATCCCGACTCTCCTCCTGAGAGAGCGAAACACTCACCGCACGACCCCAGCCAGACAATACAGCTCTTGGCCCCGGCCTGGAAGCTTCGCACAGGCAAGGACTATTTTTACCCCGCTCACCACGGTATTCCCAGTGCCTACTATGGGGCGCAGATTCTAATAAAAACTCAGTAAATATTTACTAATCGAATCAATGAATCACTGGAAGGAAGCGAGGAAAGGAGGGGCCCATGGAAGCCAGCCGTCACTCCTCGGGACCTGGGTTCTGAGCTGCAGCGGAAAGGCATCCCGCCAGAATTAGGAAGCAAGCCCTTCAGGCCTGGGTCAGCGCCTCAGCTGTGTTAGGCTGCGCCGTGCACACCCCTGCTCACAGAAGCTCCGTGCAACACAGCTGGGGAAGGAGACACGTGTTTGTGACGCTCCATCTTTAAGCAAGTTCAAGAGGCAGACAGAGGGGGCCCAGCTGTGCCTTGCGGGAGGACACCTTCCCTCCTGGACTGTGGCCTTCCCCTTTAACAGGCTTCGTGGTGGATCGGGGCATAATAGGCCTTTAATAACCGAGTGTAACAGCAGTTGGTGCTCAGCGCCCTTTCATAAAAGAAGTTCAAAAGCACTTTGGCTCAAACATCATAATGCCCCTGGGAGCTATGCAGGTACAAGCATCATTATCCCCATTTACAGTTGGGGAAAGTAAGGCAAAGGGAGGTTAATTAGCTTGCCCAAGGTCAGATGAAACGGGGAGAGGGCACAGGATTCAAGCTCCTTGCAGCCACGCAAACACACCCCACTGTCACCCATGTTGGGCCTAAGGGTGATTTTACCCGCTCTCTGCTGTTTCTGCTGAGAGGCTGGGTCTGATTTGGGGCTCGGAGCTCATGCCCCACAGCCATCCTGCCCGGGTTTAACTCCGGGCCGTTCCCGACTGGCCTGACCTCAAACAAGTTATCTAACTTTGTCAGGCTTTGACTTCTGAATATTAAACGGCCAAATGGTACGTATCTCAGAAACGATGGAGAGGATTAAATGAAACACAGTACGTAAAAACATCATTATCCATTTTATAAGCCAGCACATTTTGCTCGCCTAAGAAGAAAGCCAGGGGCCTCCCCAGTGGCGCAGCGGTTGAGCGCTGGGTTGCGAAGCTGCCCGTGGCCTCTGCGGCGCCGGTTCGATCCCCGGCTGCTCCCCGGCCACCGGAGGAGGGTCCCACATGGCGCGCAGACCTCTCCTGCCGCCCGCTGCTCCCCTCAGCGGTGTACTTCGGTCCTTCTGCCTGCTCTGCTCCCCGCTCTGGCTCTGGTGAATTCTCTCACCCTCCTGCGCTTCTGACTGTACCCAGCGCTTGTATAAATAAATAAATAAATAAATCTTTAAAAAAAAAAAAAAAAAGAAGAAGCCAGGTACAGGAGGAAAAGCTTGCACCCCCACTGGTTTAGTTTTCACGAGGCTCCACAGACACAGGACTAAGCATTTCAGATTGTGCCAATGAACTGCCCCAGGACCTTGAAAGTGACTTGCACTCAAAAGTCCTAACTGGTTCCCACTAACTCATGTGGCCTCTCCAGGTTAGGAGAGCAAGTAACATCAGGGACAAAACTGACGAGGGGAGGCCTGAGCAGGGATATGAGAGTCTAAAGAGGCTACGCTGGATTCCTGGCCAGCTGAACTCCTGGGCTTGAAGCACCATTTCTCTGGTTGTCTTGCTGAGCTTTCCAATTCCACTCAGCCCAAACCAGAGACAGGCAGTGCTTTCTGGGTACGCTGTATTCCTGATCAACTGATGGCACAGGAGGAGTTCAGGGGTGACAGTGTGACCTACCTGACCCTCTGCAGAGGGCCCAGCGATACTCAATCTCAGCTACAAAGACACCGACGCTTATGTGTGTGGGCAACCTTGACTCACAGCAGCAAGGCTTCAAGGTCACTTCAGAGTCACTGCCGAGATCGGTGGAGAGCAGAGAACAAGTACATGTATGGGGCGAGATGTTAAGATGCCAAGAGCTGGCAATGTTCACCCATTCAAATCAAGAAACACTTAAGGATGACTTCCCTTCTCGGGGAAAGCACCAACAGAATGTGCAGACACGCAGGCGCCCTCGGAACCCAGCCAGTGGCTCCCACGTCTCCTGAGTGCCCACCTAGGTCAGAGAATGAGGAACAAGATGGGCATAAACTCAACACCACTGGCCTCCAAAACCCTTCCCAGTACAAGGAAGGTAGACTCTGCTCTTCCTAGCACCCTGCTTTCTCCTAAACGGGCCCCTGGGGCGGGCCTGTGCAGTGACATCCCACTGTTTGAAAGTGGAGAGTGAAAACCAAACACTCCACAGTGGCCCCAGCCCCAGCCAACCACACTCACCACCTCCCAGTCCCGCTGGGCATCTTGCTCCCGCAGCCTGTCAGCCCGCAATCCAGGCCTCTGTTCAGAAGTCACCTCCTCAGAGCCAGCTAACCTCCTCCCAGCACACGCCATCATTTTGTGGCCCTATTTTATTGTCCCCGTATCTCTTCACCATTCTACGTCCTTCTGTTCACTTCTTGGCTAGTTGTCTCTTCTACTAGAACACAAGCCTCGCTGGACCCTGGGTCTCGGCGGTCCTGTGCTTGGCTACATTCCCAGCTTCCAGTGTCTGGCACATGCTCAGGGAGTCGTGCAATTTACCAGATATTTACTGAGTGCCTATAAAGTTTAGACACCAGGTAATAACAGTAGACCCCCCAAAATTATAAAATCTCTGCCCTCAAGATATTAAATTCTAGTGGGAGATAAGAACTATAAGTAAATAATGGTGACATAATAGTTACTTCTAAGTACCTAGCAGGCACTGTGATTTAACCCCCCTAACACCCCAACAGCTCCACAAAGGAATATTACAAATGGGGAAACTGAGGCACAGAGAGGTCAAGTTACTTGCTGAAGGTCACACAGCTTATCATGGTAGAACCAAGATCCAAACCCAAATAATCTTGGTGGGAAGGCCACATTCTGATTCACAGCTGCACTTCATATTTACTGAGTGTCAATTGACAACGTGGTTGGCGCCCTCCTCAGCTGCTCCCCGCAGGCTGGGCTGGAGGGCGACCACTAAGTTGTTCTCCCACCTATCTTGCAAACAGTCTCAATGTCTTTGGGTCACACCTTATGACAGTGGCAGGTCATTAATGCTTCTATTTTAATAATGCAGCCGGACAGGGTGGGGATGGAGGGTGAAGCTCAGTGTGTTCTGTCCTCCTCCACCTCTGGGTGGAAGCGAGGAAGGGCTGCCCCAAGCTGTGAGCTCGATAGGATAGAGGTGGCTGGGGTTACCCCTGTGTTGCACCCTGGATGAGGAATCTGCCAGGACACATGGTTTGATGAAAAGACAGAGACAGGGTCAGAATTCCTGGGTTCCTGTTTTCAGGAGCCTGAGGCAAGTCAAGCAATACTTGTTGAGGTTACATTCTGTGCAGGGCACTGAGATGCTGTGTAGGTGCAGAGATGAAGCCTATAGAGAGCGTGGCCTCAGAGAGCCTGGCTTTATGCACGTACAGCTGGAGCTGAAATAGGCATGGGAAGTGGTGAGTGCCATGGGAAAACGTGCAAAAGGGCTACTCAGCCTCGGGGGCCTACCATAGAAGAGAGTGGTGGGCTACATAATCCCCAAGGTCCTCTAGCTCTTACATGTTCTTTTTTTTTTTTTTAAAGATTTATTTATGCATACAAGAACTGGGGTACAGGCCAGAGGTGTGGAGGGTGAGAGGATTCACCATTGGGGTGCAGAACAGGCAGATGTACTGAAATACACTGCTGAGTGGAGCAGCGAGGAGACAAGAGAGGTCTGCTGCGCCATGTGGGTAGCTCCCTGGCTGGCCGAGGATCAAACTTGTGCTGCAGTGGCTGCAGAGAGCTTCATAGATTGTGTCTTAACCCCTTGCACCACCAGGGAGGCCCTCTGATGTGTTCTGATGCATGAATTTGCAGAGGCATAGAGATCAAGTTTTATTCTGGTTAATGGTTCAAGTTCACGGTCACTAAGTTGTTCTCCCACCTATCGTGCAAACAGTCTCAATGTCTTTGGGTCACACCTTATGACAGTGGCAGGTCATCAGTGCTTCTATTTAAATAATGCAGCTGGACGGGGTGGGGGTGGAGGGTGAAGCTCAGTGTGTTCTGTCCTCCACCTCTAACTGGATTTTAAACCCACAGATCCATCAAGGAGCGGGTGGTGACCTTTCTGTGAGCATGTTGTCATGGTGTAGAGACTGCTCCCCAACCCCCTTGTTCATGCCTGTATCCCTAGAGCACAGTTCCTGGCTCACAACAGATACTGAATGAAGTCTGC